CTCCAAATGAATAGTAGATTTCAAAAAATAGAAAATCAAAACATGGCGGCAGATGTTTTCATTGTTACGGGTCACCACAAAGAAATTAATGTGTGGGAAAGCCTAATAAATCCCATATACTTAAACAAACACTCCTTTATTAACAAGATTTATATATAATTTAAATTGTATTATTGATCCCTGATGATCCGCCTCCAACACAAAGTACTAGTCTATGTGGGTTCATCAGATTTTGTGGGCGAGGAAACATATTTTAATATACAGCCCACAGTAAATAAACATTTCTCCTCCATTGTCGTAGTTGTTCAGGACTTGTCCATGTAATATGTGATGGTTGGTCTATGTAGTATTTGTCCTGCCTCTCCTTGGCTATGATTGGTCGGCTTGATAAAATGATTTAGGGTTCCCACGCTCATGGAAAACCTGGAAAAGTGTTGGAATTTCAAAGGCCTGGAATGTCAAGTAAGGCAGATTAAATCAAACAACTTATTTGATGCTTGATACGGCTGGAAAAAAAACAGTTCTCATTTTTCATGACTTTTACCAGCCAAGCCTTCTGCTTTTAGACGTTACATGTATATGTGACATAGTGTGGTGGCGTTTGTTACAGGAAGTGAGACTCTCCTGCATGTGTGTGTGTAAAAAAGTACAGTCCGACAAGTGCAGCAGACACAGTGAAGTGCAAGCTTTTATGAAATGAAAATTTTATTAAGAGTCCTTGAAAATTCTGTCAGTGAAAATGTGTGGGAACCCTGATGATGAAATCAGTGTTTACCAACATTTTTCAGAAAAAAAAACACCAAACATGCAGCGCATAGTACTGAATAGACTCTCAGCACCTCATCATGCTGCTGGTGTTTGTAGCAGAGTGTAAATACACAGAGAATTAACAAAATGACGCTGGTCTCAGAAAATACACTTAAGTTTTTGACGAGTTGAGGTGGAGCTGTCGGTGCAGCTTGTTACCATGTTCCACATGTTTTTGTTGTTCTTCCTTAGGCATTTAACTGCAGACTAGAACACTTGTAGGTGTACATGTATATGTTGCCATGTCAGGTCCTGAAGAATTGCATCCCTGCTCCCTACAGTACAAGAGAAAAACTAGTACTGCCATGCTTACAGAATTTTGGCATCAACTTGGTAACCAAGTATCAGTACCCATGACACTGTATGATATTATTCATGTGATGTGACTTAACAACATGAATCTAACAAATATATATGATGTCATGATGTTTCCAGGAGCCTGGGTGTCCACCTGTCTAAGGTGAGATCTCTCACTCTGGACTCATGGGAGGCTGAACAGCTGAAGGTAATGGCAACCCAAAACTCTCCCATTGTATACTCGAGATCTTTACCCTCTCTGATGGTGTATATTGACACCAAACTCTTCTTCTTCTTCTTCACCTGTAGCTGCTCTGTGTTCTGGGAAATGATGTCATGAACCGGATCTATGAGGCGCGATGTTCAGAGGAAGGGCGGATCAAACCCAGCGCCGACAGCCCGCGGTAAAATCACTTCTAATTGATTTTTGTATCTCGTTAGTGAGACATTAAAGGGTAACTGGTATTTTTCAACCTGGAACCCATTTTCACATGTTTTTTTGTCTAAGTGACCACTGGGAACAACAGTTTTTGAAACTGGAAGGCTGTAGCCAGTAGCGAAACAGTCTGCAATGTAATCACTCAAAGCAATTATACACTGTCAGTTTTTTGTCACTGACAGGCTTCGATTGTTTAAAGTGTCTGACAACATTATGGAAAGGATCCCTACAGAGATAAACCATTTTGTTAAAGAGTAAAATCCTTTTTGTTTAACCATAAACAGCCCTGAAATTGCCATCGCCAAATACACCAGACTCCATTTAAATAAATTGTAATTTTAGCGTGTATAGAGGCATCATGTTTTCACATCTAACTGGGTGAATTAAGGGTTTATTTTAACCAATGCAGAGTTGGTGATTATTAGAACAGTAGAAAGAAAAACTAGGATGGCTTTTGTGAGTCAGTTAGACACAAAAACGGAGGGAAAAGGGTCCAGGTTGAAAAATACCAGAGTTGCCCTTTAAGTCAGAGACTTGGGCCCTGTTATACTGTTTTAAGTGTCAGGTGTTATTTACAGCTTCAGAAATGCTTAACTTTAGCCTGGTTTTCTGTCAATCTAAAAATAATAACACAGGGTGTTTTTGGCTGCTGATAAGTAAGAAAACTAAACATAAAAAAAAAAAAATTCTTTTTTTTCCGTTCCTCCAGGACAGAGAAAGAGACATGGATCAAAGAGAAATATGTGGAGAAGAGATTTGTGCAGAGCAGCAGCTCAGCTGGAGCTCGTAAGTCTAACAGAAAAGTGAAGTTATTTAAAAAGACCGAAATGTCTCAACAACCATTTGGGAGTTTGCCATGAAGTTTGGTTCAGACTATTATTATCTATATATACTATTATTATTATTATTATAATTATAATACTAACTATTATTATTTCTCCAGCTAGAGTTCTCCCAAACAAAGACAATTTCGCACCCTGATTTCATACACATAAACAGGTTTTAAATATTAGCTTTTATTGGTGTTGTCTTTTTCAGATGGTGGAAAAGGCGAGGCCGGGCTGCGTCTGTATCGGGCTGCGCTGGCCGGAGACCTGATTGCCATGGCAGCAGCATTGGCACAGGGGGCAGAGGTCAACGGGAGTATCGCTGAGAAAGGGGGACACACAGCTCTAATAGGAACTGCTGTCGGGGTGAGGAGGCGCCATGAACACAAAATATAATGATGCAATTGTAACAAAACTCTGCTACAAGTAAAAGTCGTGCATTCAAAACTGTACTTAAGTAAAATAAATGATAATAATAA